AGGGGAATGCTATTAAATATTCTTTTTAAAAATAAAAAATAAAAATAAAACATAAGCAAACATTTATTTTCTTTGCTTGTTTGTTTCTGATATGTTGCCAGAATGTTTAGTTTTTGCTAATAAAATTTGCCAATGACTGTTTTTGAATCAGGAAGATGCAGCCATAGTTTGACTATTTGGTCTGCAAAATGTGGTACAAACTTACAGATCATTTCTCTCTCTCCTTATTCAGTTTATTGAAATTGAATCTTTCTGCTGAAAATTCAAAAAGAGATGAAATCAGAGGAGAATATCACAGTATCTTGAAGAAAGGGGGGGAAAACAGCAGCAGAAATAAGAATTTTGGTCATTTTATTTTCATAATTCTCTATTTTTAAGAATTATGCAACACATATAGGTATATTTTACTCATTTCTTGTTCACCTTAGAGTTATAATTAGACTTGTAAACACTAATTTGGGTTTAATTTTTGCAGCCAACCTGTGATGAAAATAAATGAACTTAGATGTCAACAACATTTTTGTGTGTGTGTGCTTACCACCTTTGATCTTCCAAACTGAGCTGTTCAGGGCAGGAAGATCTGGCAGTCTGCTCAGCCTCTTCCTCCTGCTCTTCCTTTAGCATCACTTTCTCCACCATTTTCACATGTAGAAATAGGCACAGCTGACTGAAGGAGCTAAATACCTGGGCAGTGAGAGCCGGAGTGATCATTGGAGGGAATTCCTGGCTGGCCCAGGGCTCAGCAGCGCGGAGTCGATTCAGTGCAGCGCAGGACTTGGAGCATGTTGTGCAAAGTGCCATTAGCAGGGGAACAAACACTGAAAATCCAGACAGATAATCCATTTTTCAATTATAATTATCCCCCTGAAATTCTTGGAAGCTGTTAGTATTGGTAGCTCTTAATTGCTTTTATTTCTGCAATACCACATTTCACTTACCCAGACCGATTCTCCCTTGTCCTTGATGCAGATACACACATGTCTTTGAATTTGGCTTAGCCACAGCTTGGTAGATGCAGTTTACAGCACTCCTCTTACTTATCGACAATTTACATAGCATTTGCAAATCCTGAATTTTGCCTTGAGTCTTTCATAAGCCACAGAACGTGGCCGAGAGCTGATGTTTTGCTTGATGTTAAGTCACAACCAAAGAAGAAATTCTTTTAAAATATGAGTTTATTTGCATATGTCCAAACAATATTCTAGTTTGTCTTTTGTTCAAATATTGGCCTCAGCTTGCTTGAAACAAAATACCCAGCCATTTACTGGAAACCCACCTGGGTGCTTACTTGAAATTCAGTCTGAACTTGCTTCAAATCTTGTTCCAATTCCTTTTGAAACCTGGCTCAAGACTCCTGTGTTCTCAAACTGTGACAACCCCTTTGAGCAACCGGCCTGATTTTACATGTCGTGCTTATGTTCAAAGTACAAATGTATTCTTCTACTGAGAAGGGCTTAATTTTGAAGCCCCCTCACCGCGAAACAGCCCCAAAAACATGGTGCGATGGGGCCAGAGCTGCTGAGCCAGCCTGCGTGGCAGCCATGGTCAGCAGTGCTAGTTCTATATCGGCCCCCTTGGTTCTTCTCTTCGTTACCAGGTTTTTCTTTTTTTCCCCCCGCCCCAAGCTGCAGACCAGATCAGAAGAGAGACGTTCTGTGAGTTCATTGAGTATTTTTGCAGCATTTGCAGCTAGATGTAAAAATAGCACAAATGCAAGTATTTCATACATTAGTGTTCAGAGTGAGTAGTCCCATCCTTATTCAGCATGGTCCTTGAGCACTCTTTAACATACCTGGAATTTCAATCCATGCTGAAGCGAGGCCTCGGTGGAGTTTTGCGGCTGAACGAGACAGGCGGCCTAGCTCTGTCTGCACCAGCAAATGTTCCAGAGAGCCTTTGGAGACATTGCTTTGCAGTAAGTGGGCTGTTCAGCATATTAATAAATTGTAACTACTGGATTTTGTGGTAGTAACGCCATTTCTCTTTCCACATTGAAAGAATTCACATTATTCACTTTCAGGCTCAAGACATAAAAGAGTGAAGATACTCATTCATTGGCAAATTTCTTTCATGAGTTGTTTTATTTGAATTTATAGCATATCCATAAAAATAGAAATAGTCTTTAGAACCATTTTGTGATACATAATTTCCAGGCTGAGATGTACAATGGAAATAGTCAAATATCTAATGTGGATTTTTTTTTCCACATTTATACATTGAAGATGCTGTGAGAAGCAAGCAGGAGTTATGCAATTTGCTGTAGAAAGAAAGATGAAAATATAACTAAGCATTTTTATGTCTGTGTAGTTCATCAGTCTACAAACAGTTTCTCAGGACGTTTGCTCTAGTTTTGTACAGAAAATATAGTTTGAGAGTGCTCACGCCAACACCTTTGACATTGTGATTTGCATGTAACTATATAAATATAATATATTTTGCTATCTAGAGCTTTATACACATGAAAAATTATGGTACAATAAAAATCTATACATGTGGTGCTACCAGTTCAGCAGCTGCTAACTTAAAGGATACATCTAAAAATATGATTGCTCAGCTTCTGAAATATAAAATAAAAGAGCAATCAGAAATGCTTTTTTGTTTAAATAGTAATTTACATAAACATTCATCTCTTCATTTTCTCCATTTGCTTAGGCCTGGTAAAAGGCTTCCCTTTGGTCGGTTGGTTGGTTGCATCTGTCCTTGGCAGGAATTGTAGTTTTAAATAGTCTTTTGTGTTTGTCTTAGGCAACGGTTAATATATTTGTGAAGGAGAGTAAACGTTGGCCAGCTTGTAGCCCAGCTCTGTGCTATCGCGCTGCTGAGTGACAAGCAGCAGGTCTGGAAGTTGTGCAGAAGGGGAGCACCAGCTCCCACGTGCAGGCCTGCGTCCCCACACCGGGCCCGCTCCGCATCCGTATGGCACTGAAGCTTTAGTATTGCAAACTTTAAAGAGAAGGTTTAGCGGCTGCTCAGTCGCAAAAGGGTAGCATGGGTATATACACAAGTTCACTTTATTTCCTAGGAAATCTGGTGGGAGATCTGGTTATAAGAAAAGCAGCTTTATGAGAGAAATTACAATCAGTTGCTGGAAGATGTATGTTAACCTGAGATGATATATGGCTACCATTTCTCCACTGCTTCTCTGCTCCCAGAGCAAGAGAAGGTGAAAAGCTGGTGCCAGTGAGTTTGTGATGGTACCACTGACTTCAGGTGTCCACCGTGAGGGGTGAAAGGCTGCAGATAAGATGGAGTGTGGGAGAAACGGTCTTTGGAGCCAAGTGAAGGCCCTGTGCTGATATGATGGCCTGGCACTTCTTATATGAACTACAGATGATGGCAAAATGGGTGGCCTAGAGCCAATCAAGCTAAAATAAAGAGGAAATTAGTGAGTTGCGCAAAAGCAAGTAATGCTAGCTCAGTCAGTCCAGAAAAGAAAAAAAAAAAAAAGAGAGAGAGAGAGAGATACTTAAAAAAATTGCTTTGAAGTACAGAGGCTTATTACTTGATTTGTAAATAAGATGAACCACTCTCCGCCCAGGTTATGAAAAATAAGAATTGTCATGTATGGGTAACTGATGGTGACAGCTCTGGTGCAGGAGGCAGTGTTATTGTTTGACATGCCCTACATGTGTAGATAACAAGTTAGGCTCTCATGTTTGCCTACAAATTGTTGCTAAGCACATTTGATACCCTTTATATTGATACTCCTGTTGTCTCTTGGTTTCATCTCTATTTCCCTTTAAGACAAACAAAAAATGGAATAGCCTACAACCTCCAGCTGCACCCCACTGCAATTCAGGCAAATCTGGAATCAAATCCAGATACTGCCTGAGGAAATGAATATTGCCAGGATGGATTTAATATATTTATTTATCTTTTTTTTTCTACTCCTTTTTTTTTTTCTCCCTGGACTTCTCAGTCCTCCTCCCATTATTGATATTGTTTTCTGAATTCCCTATCCCTGAAAGAAAATGAATTGGAATTGATCTTGGTTTCACCTCTGTTAAAATCACCAAGAAAATCCTGTTTCTCCACTCCCACATCTCACGTACTCAGTGACCTGGTAAAGTGCCGCCTCCTCTACCTTTTTATTTCCCATGTTCTGTATGTGCTTGATCCCAGGAGGAAGCATTTGTGACTTGCAGAAAGAAAAAGCTGCCAATGGATGTTCAGTCTCTGCAAAGCACTGCTAGAGATGGATCCAAAATACTGACCCTGATCTGAATGTCCCCGAAGTCTGAGTGTTTTTATGTTGACAGTTTTTCTCCCTACTAAGAATCCCGAGCAAAGCTGACCCATACAAAGAGTGTAGTTTTATATTTAAGAAAAGCAAGTTGAACTCAGCAAATTGAGTTTGCTTTTCTGGAAGGCTTTTTAAAATTGTCTATCCAAGTAAGGAAAAACCATAAGGCTTGAAGGAACAGCAGAGACTTCTCCTGCAGGCCATGGGATGTGTATATCTGTTTTGCTTGCCTGCTACCCCACCAATTTATGTGGCATGAGGTTGAATGCTCTAATGAGGAATATAAGAAGGTTTTAAATTATTTCTACTAGAAAAATGGTGCATTTTAGTAAGTTTTCCTAGTCAGGAAACAATTTTCCTTTCAATAGCTTTTGGTCCCTGAGACTAACTTTCTTCTTGCAGTTCACCTCAAACATGTTTGTTAGTTAAAAACAAATAGTCCTTTTCCTGGGACGAGCTGAATGTCCTGTGAAGATTATGGAGGATATTCAGTACCAGGCAAGGTCAGATCCCAAACTTCTGCCTACAAAAGAAGATAGCAGTGGTGGAGGTAGCATGAGGCTCTGCAAGCAGCGACCTTGTAGAGCCGCTGCTCCCTGTGGCTGTGATGAGCTGTGATGCTGAACCCACTATCCAACTTACTGATAGCAACTGGAAGCCAGCAAGTATTACACTCAGAAACTGGAGGAGGGAATGAACAAGTGATATTGGCCAACAAAAACTATAAACCAGATGATTATGGAACAAGACAACTTGGCTCAGAGATGCTTACTGTTTTCTCCACTTATTCTCACCTTCTGAAGTGGATTATTGTACTCACTAAATGCCCTAGTATTTCCCTCCTTCCCTTTCTTTGCATGACTCACAGCATTGTCATAAATCACATTATGCCTGTATGATTTTTTTAAAAAAGAGAAAAACTTCACAAGAAGGGAAAACAATCATAATTCTATAATGTTATCATATATCACAGAAAACTGTGTACATTTTTTCCCCATACAGGACATACTTCAAATAAAATAATTTTAACACCAATAATGCTAATGTTCCTTCTTCCCGACAGAAGTAAAATGTTTTTTTCACCCCAGTTTGGTACATAAATATAAGAAAATAGTCTTTGAATATTTACATCCAGTTGTTTCAAACGTTGTTTTTAGACATATTTAATTCTCATTTTCTCTCCAGCCACGGGCATTCTTTCCAAATTTATATACTAATCTCCGACCATCCACACGCTCCAGGATTTCTCTTTTATAATAATATCTGTTAGAAGAAGCATATAGAGATTTAAGGTTAAATTCCTGTAGAATCCTAAAAAGACAATATCAACTCAGGAATCCCACACCCATTTTAAAAACCTTTATTTTCTATTGTTATAAATAATACCTAAGATAATTCTAACTGAAAGAGAGTCAAGAAACTAAAAAATACGTTGTGAACATCACCTCAGCTCACTTGCCCATTTTGCCTCTCTACAGTCAAGCATCTTCTTTGGTGGGTTTTGCGGGCCTACTAAGCAGAAATGGAGGAGGAAAAGGAACCCAAAATGTAATGCAGTACTCTCAAAATCAGTGCAATAGACTTAGTTATCAAATAAAGTAACTGGAGCTGCTTACAATTCATTTTGGAAAATTAACTTGGTTCTCAGCTCTCTGTGGGGCAGTGACTCTTTATTTGCCCCAGGTTTCTATGGCATCTTCTTGGCTCACCTCATGGCCCGGCTGAGTTTCTCATAGGTCATGCTGCTGTTGTTTTTCTTCTTTCCCCAGAGCTGAGCCACAGCTTCAGATTTTAAAAATCTGAAGACACCTTCTGACCGGTCTTCCCACTTGATTAACCCTGGGTTTTTCTCGGGATTGAGAAGAATATCTCGAATAAATTCCCAGAGATGGGTTCCTCGAGGGTCTGAAAGAGGAAGAGAACAGGAGGAAAGAGTTTAAGGAGATTTCTGGGATAGGCTCAATCTTTTTCTGTCATTTTGTTTTGGAGCATCACCCACCAAAACACAGACTGTTTTGTACAGGTAGCTCTCAGCTCTGGCACCACAGGACCCATGCTTCTGAGATAGATAGGCAATAACGCTGACCACCCTTACTGGATAGTCAAATTCTTAAAGGTAAAAGAGATATATATAAAAGATTGACTGAGACTAACTCCAAAACTTATTCCAAAAAAAGGATGCAATGAGTTAATGAAAAGTTAAAAAAAAAAAGAGAAGGAATGATATCCTTGTTCTAGTCTGCAAGAACTTGAAATACAAGGATAATGTGAGAATCATCAGAAGTCAGACTGTGTTACAGTTCTCAAAAGAAATTAAAAGCAAATAAGAAAAAATCAGGCATACAAATGAAAGAAGAACTGGTAAAATAAAAAGGAAGTAGGCTGAGATAAAGTAACTTAGATGTGGCAAAACATCAAAATGATTAATTTGCCTCTGTTTTTGATATGAAACATGTTGAAGACGAGGACAAAAGCAGGTTATTGTTCAAGAACATAAATGAATATAAAAAGACAAAACTAGATCTCAAAGTTCAGGACACAGGCCTCCCATTTAAGCACAACTCCATCCCACAGTTACTGTGGAGAGAGCACCAGAACACCCAGGTGCAAGAGCGTAAGTTGAAAAAAAATCTACCAAGAGGTGATAGTTTATGAATGAAGAATAGCAAACACAGTGATGAAGTGGGACAGCAAAATAGAAGTCCTTTGGTCTGATTTCACAACAGGGTTTAGAATAAATTTTGAAGGAAAAAAAATAGGCAAAGATATAAAGGTAAACAGTAACTGGTCTACAATACTACATGAACATATTAAAGGCAGATTGCAGTTAACTGATCCAATATTTTTCTTTGATATAATAATTACTTTCTAGAACCAAAAATAGTGTGCTATCATACCTTAATAAAATACTTGATGGATCACTATGCAGAGCAGTAGTGATGAAACTGGAAATGTAGAGGATTAACCAGGCACTGTAGAGTGATCTTTTCTATATGCCAAGCCTGTGATGGAGTTTTTCTCAGATCTATCTTTTGTCCAGTCCTATCTAATCCTTACCTTAACAACCTTGTCGTTACCTTAACAATCATGTAGGTAGCTAGGTAGGTAGAACGGCAGCTAGATCAGTAGGTAGGTTGGTAGCTAGGTAGGTAGAGCAGTAGGTAGGTCGGTAGGTAGCAAGGAAGGAAGGGAAGAAGGAAGGAAGCAAAAAAATAAGTGTGCAGATGACAAGTCTGAACAAGCCAAGCCAGCACTGGCAATGTGAGAGGATAGGCAGAGAAGTCTGGAAGACACAGGTAATCTTAAGGACAGGACAAAATTGAATACTATCAAGTATAGCAAACAAACAATTTAAAGGATTTCTATTTTAAATTGAGAATGATACAGGTGACAAAAGACACAAGCAGGAGATTTTCAGTATAAAAGTTACAGTGAGGTGCATTAATGGAAGTGTACCTGGAAATCACAATTATGGAAGCCTTTTGCCAGATTCAGGCTGAATCAGAACCGTGAGAGACAGCAGAAAAGGATGGTGAGGAACATCAGAGAAAGAGCAGAAGCAGGGAGCAGGTGGCGATGCTGGTGGCCTGGGGAGGTCTGCAGGAGCCGGTGAGCAGGGACTGCAGGCAGCCGCTGCGGGTGCCAGCCCTGTGCCCGCCGACGGCTCTGCACGCATTGCCTGGGCACGAAACTTCCCTGCTTAATCCCGGGGGCTCCCCTGTTATTCCCGTACTGCAGGTAACCAGTCTGTCTCAGCGCCTGGCAGGGCTCTGGTTCTCTTTGCCTGTAACTTCTCCATGGTGAAAACATACATAACTGTACTGGGTCAAAAATTGTGAAAGCAATAGTTCCAGAAACAGTCAGGTCCTTGGAGCATTCAATCACCATAACTCCGTCTAAACAGTTGTGTTTCTCAAATGAACTCAGAATGCCTCCTTTACCCTCCCAAAGGGGATTTACACTTAATGTGTTTCCAATCAAATAACCATTATAACCATGGATGCAGACTTACTGTGCTTCTTGGTGTGGGCCTTTGGGGTATGCTCTTGTGTTTTTTTCACTTCTGAGGAATCTGAAGAGAAAGAAAATGAGGCCTATTTGTAAATTTGATTAAAGGTTTTCCATTGACTAGCAGGTTGAAAGAAATAAAACCACAAGAAAGAAGGAATATCTCTTTTAAGCATAATCATTTTTCAGAAGATAATCTAAGACAGGAGGAAGGGGGAGAGTTTTGTTTTCTGCACTATATGTTAATCAGCACACTTCACAAAGACACCATTGATGAATAAAGAATGAATGTAGAGGTAAACATTTAGCTTTTGAAATCAAAATTAAATTAACAAATACCTCACCCCCATAGTGCGTGTGTGAGAGAGAAAAATAAGAGGATCGCGTCTTTAAAAGGCATCCTGACCTGTTCCATTATGTCTTAAGTCTTTGCAGAAGCATGTATGTTTGGGGGCTTATTTGTTTCTGCAGAGATGATCTAATGTGAAATGCATGTGCCAATGCACAGAACACCTACCTGACTAAAACAGAATGATCTGGCAAAGCGCTCTGCTTTGGGGGTAGGGTACAGAGATAGTACTGCGCTAGTAGGAGGTTTTTGGCAGTGGGGTGTGCAGAGCTTGTTGCTGGCTCCGAGCCACAGAAACATGCCATTTCTCATCAATGCACCTTCTTCACCTGTACCAGCCTCGAGAGGGCTCGGCTGCTGGCACGAGCACTTGTGCAAAAACCAAGTTCCGCCTGTTCGTCCCTGTCACCCACCTTGCAGTCTGCACATTTCGTGTTCTCATCTGAGAACAAGCATAATCTGGCTCTGCTATTGCCATTAATTAATTATGTTCATTCCATCACTCTATTGGGCTGGTTCTGAGAAGTAGCCCCTCCTGCGTTTGCTTTTCAGTGTGTTTAGTGCCTGAATTGCATAAAGCTCAGCTTAAGGTCCCACGCACGTTTTCCCAGCTTCTATGAATGCACAATTATCATACTTTTTATGGAAACAGGGCATTTGCATGTGCAAATGACTCACAGGAAATGTTCATTTGCATAAAAACTTGTTGGATTTGCACAAGAAACTGCAATGACTGCATGTGAAAAGGTAGATGCAAAGCTATTCACACACTCGCTTTATTCATACATAACTGGATACATAAACTGAGCAGGTCAGAGAGAATGAATCTAACCCCACTATCCTGAGCCTGACATAATTACTCTCCTTGACCCCTAAGCTGCAAATGTGCTCTGAGTCATTTTGCCTTCCCACTCTCGAAGAGCAGGAACCATCCTGAACCTCACTCAGCTTGGGGGAAAAAAGTAAAATGAGGCGTATTTCATTGTCTTTCCTCAGATTATGATTCCCGTGATGTTATTAAAAGTCTCTGGGAACTTCTCCTAGCGAGGACAGCAGGAGTGGGTCCTTTATTTGCCCTCTTATTTAAATCCCCCTCATTTTAAAAACCTACAGTCTGCTTGCATACACTTGCTATGCGCCGTTTATTTGGAGATTTATTCTTGGAAATTCTAGGTTGCCTTCTAACTAGCCAGTGATTTATTCTTGACTTCAGCTGTGTAAATAGCCTCCCATTCTGTCTCAGTTCTTACATGGAGACCAGCTTCAAACATGCCACATTAGGAGGCCGGGGCCTGACAAATGAAAAGAGTTACGATGCCGTTTCAACAAAGCTGTCTTGCAAAACTGGTGACAAAAGGTTGCAGAGTATTTGCATATGATTCAGGAATGAGCCATTTCTTTACGGGATATACAAATTTAGTTTTCACAGGAGGCTGTGCCCTTGGCGTGCCACCCTCGCTCTAGGCTTAACAAGTCAGTGGGTAAACACACGCAGCCAGGAGCTTGACAGGTCCCTGGTCCCGTCAGTGAGCGCTGAAACCCTCGCAGCCATTTTATGAGGGTGGGTGGAGGCAGCAGGGAAAGCAAACAGGGTGCTTTTTTTCCTTAATGTTTTGGTGGTTTTCTTTCTCTGGTTAGGTTTGCTATTGTTTTATTTTATTTTATTTTTATTGCTATTATTTATTGCTGGGTTCATCGGTTGAAGCCGGGCATCGCCCGCGGAGCGCCCCGGTGCATGTCACCCTAACCACACTTTCACCTGGCCCTACATCAGACAGGCTGCTCTCTTCGGCAGCTCTGCACAGGTGACACGCCAGGCATTGGCCTCCCTGGGACGGTCACGGAGCCCCGACAGGGAGAGAGGCTCCTGTGGGAGGTAAGGGATGGAGGGGTACCCCGGTTTCCCCCTGAGGCTCCTCCGCACCCATCCTGGGAAGCCCTGGGCCTGGCCGCCCGCGCAGGAACAACCGTCGCTCCTATAAAATGCAGCCCTGTCTGAAGAGCTCGTTTGCCTGTGTTCAGCCACGCCACTGAAAAGCCTATGGCAGCCTTGGAACATCTTGTCCCTGTCACTAACATCTTCCCTTTGACTCAGGCACTTTAAAGATATGTGAAGGATGCAGAGCGTTTGATCTTCTGTGTCTTGACAGAGAGAAGGGAGAAGCGCGTCTTTAAAGCAAGCTACAGTAATAACGATAGCTAAAAGAGTTGTCAAAATCAGTACTGCATGGTTTAGAATGACTGGAGGCTCAGATTCAGTCCTGCAACAGAAGACCATGGAGACTATTACATGTCGGTAGCTCTGGGACAAGTGACAAACAATTAGCAAAATAATTACAAGCTCCTTACCAGGCGGCTGGTGGCTAGGTGCGGTCATGGAGATCTGAGCGCGACAGAATGTTTTACTGTCCAATAACTCTGGGAATTAAAAGGAAGACACTTTAAATAATATCCTTTGACAACAATAAAAACAGTTCAGAAATGCATAAAGTACTGTGAGGTTAGTTACCTACTGTGCTACCATAGCCACTGTCATACAGATAATTCTCGTCTTTCCAGGACACCATTAACGACGGATCTGAAGGCAAAGGACCAAAGGGAACATCAGTTCATAACCAGCATATTTTTTCCACAGATGTGAACAGTGAGCCCCAAAATGCAACGGAAATAAGAAAGGTGCAAAACAGAGCTGAGAAGGAGAACAACATGGGAGACTGTTTCCTTTCATTCCAATTATGGATGGGGTTTTTATGGATGGGGTTTTGCATACTCAGGTAAACGTACTTAGACAAAGCCTTGACTTTTTAAAATAATGTAGTAGGCTCTTCCCTCTCCTGGCAAGTATATCATTTATGCCGGTGCTTGTAGGAGTTTTGCTATGCCAGATCAACTCTTCTCCTACCCAATCCAGTCCTGAAATCGCGGTCCCTGGTGATTACGACAGTGCTTTGGTGCCATGGAAATTAAAGTGTTCTCAAATATCTAGCAGAACAAGAGAATGCCTATAAAGAGCATTTACTTTTATAATGGTAGAACTCGAAAGTCCCCTCTGAAACAGGGCCTCATGCGTAAACAGAGAGAAAGACATCAAAGCCTAACCGGAGATGTCAGGCCATTTTATTTCAGGCATGTCAAGTCCTCATCCTTCACATACAGGCCATCTTTATGATTAAAGAGACAGACTTTTTAGTGACTTTTTGGTCAGTACCAGCAGTACCTTGATGAGGAGCTGCAAAAACCTCTCATTTTTGTATAAATATATTCAAAAAACACCAAATATGAGTTATAGCTAAATCATCATGTTTGGCTGAGTTACCGCACATGACACAGGTATTTAGCAGGCCTGCTAAGCAATAGCTGCATGTTTGGGCACCCAGAACTTGTGCTCCTACAGCAGCACACACCCTCCTGCTTGTTTGGACACCTGATTTGCCAAGTGTTGTCTTTGAAAACAGGTCTTGCCCAGCAGGAACGTAAGGAGACTGTTTTCCAGGGCCAATGTCAAGTAACCTCGGCAGCCTACCAGGACGAGGCAGGTTCCCTCTCCGAGCCCCTCGGCCCATCTCTAAGCCCTCGCAGGGCATCTCTCTGGGCAGCAGCACAGTCCTGCCAGCCTGTCGTTCCCTGTCCCAAAACAGATGCTGACTATGGCCAACTATCAAGCGGGTGGCTGGGACGGGGCTGCGGAGAGCTGCGCTTGGCTGCTGCTAGGAACACGCAAAGAGCTGCCCTGGCTGGAGAAGCTGCATGGACTGGCCAGACACCTGTGCCTGGACACCACATGCTACAGAGAGGTACTCGTTCTGCCAAGAGATATCAAAACGTGGCTCATGAGCACACCTACACACATAGAAGCTGAGGCGACAGGGATAGAGAGTGTGAAGATGCAGGCAGAGGTGCTCCTGGAGAGCGACCTAGAAAACAGCCATGCTTAAAGCAGAGGACTTGACTGGAATCCCGAGAGGAAAAGGATTTAGCTAAGGGCACAACGGGAAAAGGACTGTCACAGGAAAAATGCAGATTTCATCAAAACAAATGCAATCTGAATTTCAGTTTCAGGTGAAATATAGAGAGAAACATAACATTTTGTTGTTTCCATTCAAAATTGTCTTTGTGTGGAAATTTCCTCATATTTCAAAGCACTAGCAACTATGAAAGAAAAATATTTTTCTTCCTGTTATTTTGCAGAGAATGATGTGCAAAAAGATTGTTTTGAGTTGGAGTCAGATGAATGAAGCACAGAATCAAGTCATCTGCACAGCTGCACTCACTGACCGCTGCAAGCTATACTAACTCTGCAGGTAAACATCTGCAGAAGTCACCTACGATATCCCAGATGTCTCCCAGCTCAAGCGATCACATGCAAAATAAAATACTACCTGAAACATCTAAAATTCAGTAGATGTTGACTAATATTTGTGTCATTTGTTTTATTCAGTACAATATACTTCCCATGGTAATTAATGCTACTTTGATCTCTCTCTGGCAAAGGGCAATTTCCACTTATGGTCACCGTCAGAAGTCAAGTCACTCAACCATTGCTCACCTGTTTGTTCTGTCTTCACAATGACATTATGAGATTGGTACATGTCACTTCCGCACTGACCTGCAAGAAAGCATATGGCAGATAGGATGTGTATCCAACGGCACAGAAGAAAAAACAAAGACATTAACGCCAAACAGGGAGTGCTACAGTTGGCTGGTTCTGGAAGATGACACACACACCCTTTCCCTTGGTCCTTCAGACTCCTGCCTTATACCAGATACAAGCAATAGAACAACATAGCTAATAGAGTGTGAGCATATAGCAAAAATAGTGGATGAGACGTGCCAGGAAGGCTTCTGGAGAACACAAATGACTTCTGAAGAATGCAAAATTCGGGCTGCTGTACGTGCGCCTCTGTCCCTGCATGGGCTGGACTCTATTTACCGTTCCATTTTAGGTGCTGAAGGTTGCTGTAGAGCAGCTGCCCTGCCGTGCCCGCTGCCTGCGTGAACTCCTGCAGACTCATGCTGCACAGGTGCTCCCCGTTGATGTCAAACTCCTGGAAAGGTATGCAGTTGGCATCCAGCTGGTTGGTGTCGAGGAGATGCTGCAGCCACTCCCAGACCTGAAACTTGGTCCAGTACTGTGGATGGATTTCGTGCCACTGTGTTCCATAGAAACTGCTGGACACTGGAAGGGAAAATGTTGAGTGTTTACAGCCTCTGACAGCACCATCAGATTTGCGTGTAGTTGAAATGCATCCCCTGAACAACGATAGATCTCTATTCTTGTCTCAGTCCTTAACACAAGTTCACTAGCTACTGCTGCAGCAGATTTTTTTCCCTCAGTTTTCAGACTAAAAAGCAGCAATTCTGACCTTTTCCCTTTCTTATCAGTGTGCTAAATGAGTAGGAATGAATTTACTAATGCTGGCAAAATACACCAAAATTCTTTGCTGGAAGATACCTTGCAGAAGTACTCTTGTAAAGGTATGCTGATGCTTGAATAGGAAAAGAGCTCCAGTGCTTCAGATAATGCTGAAAAATCTTGCAAACCCCCTAATATACAGCAGAAATTTTGTTTGAATAAGTACAAATAAAGAAAGACTGAACTATAGGATTCGGCTAAAGTATATTAAAAACAAAGACATTCTCGTATTGTTCCAAAGTAAAAATCTACTAGCGTTGTCCTCAGTTTCATGCATTCTAACAAATGCACATTATCTCCCTAGTTAGTTAAGGTAACTTCTGAATGCAATTGTAAAATTTGTTTTGATTTTTGCCTGATTTTCTTCTCAGGTTGCCTGAATCTTTTCTTGGCCAGTCTTCCAAACAGCCCTCAGTGATATATCACTGCATGACAATAATTCAAATGTACGAATGAAAGAACTTGAGTATATGGAAAGAAACTGTACCCGGCACTAGAACAGCATTAGGGATAAGAGCAGCGGCAGGGTGTCTTGGCTGGCCTCGCGGGAGGGCCGGCAAAAGGAGGCCAGCGGGACTCATGCCTTGAGCAGAAGGACAGCAGAGAGCACCAGGCGGATAGTGCTTGGAAGGGCAGGAAGGACTAGAACGATCTCATCATGAGGGACGGACAGACAGACTGCACAGGTGGGCATTTACAGGGAGAGGAGAAGCTGCCATGGTCTCATTCTGTGGTAGCCACACGTGTCCTCTCTGCACATGTTCTCTCCAGGGCACTGATCCGCTCCCTTGCAGCCCCTTCCCAAAAAGGAGCCCCTCACTGCTGGGGTCACTCACTGTGGAGCGGATGTTGCTAGAAGACCATGAGCACCAGGTTCAACATGTTTTAAGAATGTACTCCGCTCTGCTAGACCTCAGGTCTGTGGCTGAGATACTGTGCACATTGCCGTTTTGAGGGCAAACACGAAAAAGCCCCACTTTCACCTAGCCCCACTTTCTCTGGCCACTGAGGTACATGTCAGCCACTTAGGCCAGTGGCATGGTTGTTCCTCACGCTGCTGCTGAAGGATTTGGGGAACGAGGGCAGATAAGTAAAACCACAGTATGTCGGAGAATAAAGGCATGATGGAGAGAGACATGAAGCATTCCCTGGAAAAGAGCTTGAGAAGCATTCCCATCCTTTTAGGAAGGCAGAGGCTTTTCAGATGCCAGCAGAAGACTTCTGATGTAAACGCAGGGCCTTTAGTGAGAAGAAAGAACAGACAGATAAAACGAAGCAAAGGAGTCAATAACAGCAGATGCCAGCCCAAATTTTCAGGGCCCTATAGCTCTAAAATGCAAGTGAATCCGAGGAATTGCATACTGGGATTCCTGCAGACAAACTCTGATTTCCCTTGGTGAAATTCTGTATGAATTGAAACTCAAACACAATTTTCTTCATGAATTAATAAGCGACAAGACAGCAAATTTATTAAGTGATGATTATGTATTGCTGTGTATTCAGAAATTACAAATAAAAAAGAATGGAAACTGTCCCTGTAAGTTTAGCTATAGAACAGTGTGGATTAAAGGGCAGCTACAATGTGTGTTTTCGTGCTCAGATTTTAAGATCTAATAATTCAAAAATATTATTTTGAGTGATTAAAAGATTTTAAAATATTCCATATTTTTACATCTGTATCTATAGTTTTATATGTAGAAATAACCTATGTATTACAAGCATGTTATTATATACTTGTGTGTGTGTGTGTGTGTGTGTAAAAACATAATTACGATACATATCTCAATATAACAAGACAGCAAGACAGATTTCACACTGTGCCACACCTTGTAAATTATTTTAAATTATTTTAAGTGCAAAAGTCATCATTATCTGGTAGCCCTTGGAAGGCAAAAGCAGCACTGGAGAAACGGTTCTGAATGTAAGAAAAAAAGCTCACCAGTCTCACGGCATTTAGTACCCTAATGCCCTAATGCCTAATTACATAGCTATCTAGTGATTTGAGCTGAAAAAGCAAACACAGCAAAGGAGTAGAAAGACTCCCTCCCTACAAAGCCGGAAGGGAGATTAACATTGAAATAAGTTGTCAAATCCGAGAGGGCACAAGGGGTAAATGTAAGAGGGAGAATTCTGAGCTGAGGAGAGGGCACTTCTGGCACTGTCATTGCTACTGAATCCACTTTAAGTAACGAAACGAGCCATAAAATGGCCTTTTTCAGAAACTTGCTGTCAGAGGGTTAGCTTTTACAAATAAAAGAGAAGCAGAAATTTTCCTTCTAGAAGTGAAACCCCAGTGAATCAGGCTAGAAGGAGTAACACTGAGAAGTATTACTGGGGCATATTCAAAGATGTAATGTCCGTCCCCGCCTCAGCCCGCCAAGAAGAGCAGAGCTCGGAGGCTGCTGCATTCCTCCTACCATTGCATGTGGAGTATCCTTCTGTCCAGGAAGGCTGCTGGTGGAGTAGGTTGCTGCTGGAATTGATACTCATTCTGCCGGCTCCTTCCAAAATCATGATCTGCAAGCGAATCGGACAGCGTGCTTAGTGAGCCGTGCCTCGTCCAAAAGGTAAATGGTAAAAAAAAAAAAAAAAAACACGAAGGTGAAGTGAGCAAGCCAATTCCATTTGTAGAAGATACAATTGAAATCATGAACATGTTGCCACAACCCCTTTTCAGCTGCCACAAAATCTCCTTATGATAAACATTACCATGTTTGATTTGCATATGCAAGAAGCAAGTTTCTACAGCTGCCCATCCATAAATGAATAATCCGTAATCAGAAACGAAGCCTAATGAAAAGACAAGGCTCCTGACTGAGCAATACAGGAAGCCTGCCAAGGTTTGTGAAGCGAAATACAAAGTAGATCGACAATTTTTTTTTTCATTTAAAGTGAAATTTCAAAAGTTTTTTTAAAAAATTGGTTTGAATTATTTTTTTTTCTTGAAGAGAGAGATAGCACTTTTGAATAACTGCCAAGTTACTAAACTACACAGCTGACAAGAAGTCCTGTTCTGAAACCTCTTCACACGGAAGGACACACTTCATAATGTTACCGCGAGGTCGTGTTACAGGGATATCTTGCCAGCTCACTAGATCCTTATCCGAGCCATGTCAGTAGTGTCCCTAGCATGTTCTTACTGGTTAGTGTCACAGATTATGTGTTTCAGACCACGGAAAATTCAGAAGGTCAAGTTAAAATATCTTGTAAGCAAGATAGCCATTGCCATAAGAACCACTATTTCTAAATAACACCTCTGCCAAAATAGCATTCTCTGATTTTAAGTGACACAAAGTTTCCCTTCAATTTGCATTAGCACCATGAATAAAACTCTTTTTTTTGTTTTTGGTATTGCACATAACACATGTATTTGTCCCATTACATTTATCCCATATACAAATATTATCTTCCAGTGGTTTAAAGCAGAAAAGTTTAAAAACGAGTATTGTAAACATATGGCATAGATGTTCTTGAACAGTTTGGAAAACTATTTTTATAAATCCTATAAAGGCTTCAGGATGTTGTTCTTATATAAATATATAGAGAACTATAAACTTGTTTAAAAAGAAAAATCTGATCTGAAAGCCACAATGCGTATAAAAATGAACCTTCAGACAGTAGGAGGGCACATGAATCCAACTGGTCTTCACTTTGCAATTAAAAAGAGTCTAGAATATAAAATGGACCGATGAAAAGTAAATTGCTGGTATTGGCCTCCTGTCCATTGAAGCCAATCAGAAAGCAGCTGCCAAGAGCTTCCTGCTTAGAAACACCCCCAGCCTTGGTTTGAAAGACCTGAGCTGGCATTTTCCTCCATCATTTTTCAGTCCAATAAGTCTTTTTTAAAACTTACAAGCTGGCACAATTTGAAGGAAAATGTATGCATATATATATATATATGTGTATATATATATTTCTGATAATTAGGAAGTATGTTATGGGGAATAGCCCATTACAATATGACCCAACTTAGGACCTTTTTTTTTTTTTTTTTTCTGTAGCTATACAGAATAGCAAAATCAAAGTGTGTATGTTTTGGTATTTGCTTTCCACTCTTAATTCCAACAATCTGCGGGGCCATCAGTGTGGAAAATTTCCCAGAGTACGTGTGCGGGGGTATAAAATGTTAACAACAAGGAGAAAATACATAGCATACCACCCTGGCCAAACAAAAATGACTGTCGTTTTAGTTAGTAAATTTATGCAGACTGCACAAGAAGGCAAATTTTGGCCCCATGTTAAAGCCAAGTGACTTGATTTTGTGAAGGAGAAAGTGTCAGGAAGCCTTTCACTTTACTACACTGATTTTAAAGACATTCATCATATAACATGAGTATTATTCATTTTATATACTTGATGCAGGAGAGCTTTTAACCAGTAACTGGCTATGTAAGATGTGGTGCACATCTGATAGTAGATACAGACACCATTGAGAAGGCACAGGCTGACACACATATCACATTACTTATATTATTATCTCATTCTTAATTAAGACATCATTTATGATCATAAAATTTGAATGAGTCAAGTGCTAATGATAAAAACCTTATTACAGTATCAAATAGAGGTGAAGTAGAATGGTACATCTGCAAAATTATAAAACTTTATGATTAGCAAATCATTCTTAAGAGCAGTTTGTTAAATTCACTTTGATTGTTTTTTTCAGTATGTAATTAATATTGAATTTCAAGTTGTTTACTTGAAGTCACATTGGCAAAAAAAAAGGGATTTGAGAGTTACAGATACTGTGGTAGGTCACTTTGCACAAATAAAAATGTAGCTGGGAAAATACATGCTTATGAATTGAACTTTTAATTTTTTGTTTAAGCCCCTCCTGTGTATCTTTGCCTTGAGCATTCAATTTAGCTAAACTCTTTATTCTTTTTTTCCTAGTGAGCCAGCTGAATTTCAAAACCAAAGTTGTATGACACTTTGGTCCTGCAACTGGAGTCATAGATAGTTAGGGACACCAAATGATGGATCTTCTATATTTTCTCCAATCCAGCAGTAACTAGAAGCAGTGCTTGTTAGAGGCCTGAGCAGAAGCATTTACTAGATTGCAGTTGTTCCCTTAAAATCTTCTTCCTCTTTCATGGTCTAGCAGACAATTACTCTCACAGTATTCCTACACACTAACTGTATTTTCAGATGCTGTATATGAAGCTTGCTTTACAAATTAATTGACCAATACATCCTGTATTTGAAAGCTATGTGTTACCTTTTCTTTTGTAAGCTATTTAAATTACCTCAAATAAAATAAGCTAATTAGCTCCCCATATCACCTCTGGGAACAATGTGCATGGGAGAAACAACTTGAAATATAACAAAAAATACACTAACATGATTGGAGTCAGCTTTAACCCAAACTTTTGCAAATTTCTAGGTATTATTCAAGGTACTGATTTTGACTCACTTATAGTTAATAAAGCATTAATATAACAGCCATACAAATGGAAAAGCCTGGAAACTGTCAGGTCACTTCCCTCATCTTAATGTAAGGGTATTCCTTAGTTGGAAATCACTTCATCCCCAACCTCAACAAACTTCAAGACCCACTAGCCTAGCTTTGATGACTTTGCTTGGAAGTCTGCATCATCATGCTCAAGAATGTTTCCTCTATGAAAACTAAACCACGATTTTCTTTATTTCACCCTATAAAAGCCTTTCTTTGATACAAGTTCATGACAGATTTATGCTTATAGTAGTCTCATCCCATACTTGGAAAGATTTTGAGTCAGGATATTGGTAGGGGCGTGCTCTTCATTAGTTTAGGGCCAAATCCTCAAATCTCACTTGTGCACAGACAAATCTAGTTAAAGGGTGTGAAGCCTCAAGGGGAAGGACACATAATACGTTCAGTTTTCTTTTAATCATATGCCATGTATCAAAGCAAACGGTGGAACTAATGAAGCCTGGTTTCCTATGAATCTGTATCTTGTGGTTGGGTTCTCTAATGTCTAGTAAGATGTGAGCGCTGATTGAAGTTTTTCCCACGGTTGGGGCATTCATAATGTCTCGTTGTCTCAAAGGAGTGAGCTCAAGCTTCGCTCTTTCTTTCAGACAGCGTATTAATAGATTTTCCTCCATTACCTGGCAGCCTATTTTCATTAATCCTGTAAGAACTTCATATCTTTGAGACTTCTATCCCATATCAAATTTAATTAAAATGGGTGATAAGACTCCAAGATTATTACAGTCCAAATGCAAAAGCAAGCACAGAGACAGAATAACCACAGAAGCCTCATTTCCGCAGGAAACTATGTTAAAAGGGGATTCTAGCAGAGCTGAGATTTTGGAAAACAAAACAAAGATCCTGAGATCTGTCTCTTTGCTGAATATTATAAATGCAAGTATTATGAAATATCAGAAATACATATTCACGTATGAATTTATATGCGCACAGAAGTACACACATTTACTTTTGTGTGCACATTGCAGTTATCTTTCTCTGTACACACCTTTCAAGTCTTCTCCTCTAAAGACTAGTCACTTCCATAGTATAATCTTGTAACAGCACGTAGGACCATTACATAGTTCATAAAAAGAGGGAAATATAACTTTACTTAATCAGTGAAGACAAATAAAGTTGTGTGATGTTCAACAACACTCTTTTCATAGAAAGTCCTACTGGAAGGGATGAGTGCATTTAAGAAAAAAAGGTCTTTTGCCTACATGCAGTATATCAGATGGAACTCAAAGACCAGACCCTGAAAGACTCTTAGCAAAAGCTCGCACTGCAGACAGGAATTTTAACCAAGTCACAGCCCTACAGCTTGGGAGGTAGCAGGAACTCTCTTGCTCAGTTGTTCCTTTCTTTCCTGACCACCTGACTGCTCCAAGCAAACACCAGTAACAGAAAGAGCAAGGAGGTATGGCCTGACCGTGGAGCAAATCCAGCATTGCAGAAAAACATATTTACAAATCCTTGAACCTTGAACAGTGTCTAGTGCATGCTATGCAAATTACTTTATTGCACTACTGCTCTGGAAATAAATTGCCCTGATCTCCATTTCCACATTCAACCCAAGGAAACATCCAGATAAATTTCTCCTTTTCTTTGAAACAGAATCTTTCATGAACAGCTCATATTCAATGACAAAAAATGCTGAACACTGCGTGAAAGTTGAGAGAGCAGCACTGAGAACACAAGTAAATTTTTGCAGCCAGCAAGCAGAGCGGTTGTTCCTCCATTGGTTGGTTTGCTTGCTCATGTTGCAAGACTGAACTGAGTTAAGGGTCCTGTTAATTACAAAGAGGAGGGGGTGTGGAGCCCATGGGCAAGCAGGCATAAAGCCTTCTAGTTCATAGAGCTCCGTATCCTATGCAAAAGACAAAAAAGAGATGTCTAAGGCAAAACTGACTGAAACTATTAAACTATGACTCCACCCGTAAGCTATGCAAAGTGTAAGAGTGACTTCTAGCTGAGACAAGCTCTGTGCAGCAACTCCTGTTGAGTCCAAAAGGGTGGATCTCTTTTGGCGCATTTACTTATGGGATCCTTCCCCATTTTTCCCCTT